GACGTACCGAACATTCACCGTCTCCCAAGCTCTTACGGCCACGTTTAAATTCAGATGCTGAAAATTTCACTGTGATAAATGATGGTGCAGAGTCCCCATACACAGAATCCAACTCATCTTTGATTCGCGTAGGCGTATTATCTTTCCAAAATTATTATCAAATGACAGCTCGATTCTCGATTTTGCCTATTTTCATCAACTCGCTTAAACGACTATTACGTAACAACTGCTCGTCCAAAATGGCTGAAACTTTGGTGAGTAACTGTTAACAGATAAACAACGAAATTCACTATAGCTTTCATTTACGAGTACTGCTATCTTCATGCTGAGGTCAGGAACTTTTCAGATCATCCCCTATATACTGGATAAAATATAAAATAGAAACGGCACTAGCAATTATTTCAGTAAAATTATTGGAGTGCTATTTTTAATCGAGTAGTAGAAACTGAAATATATTTTAAATTTCTCAGAATTTCCCCAGTCACTCACTAAAACTTTTTAGAGAAAGTATCTACGTTAGATTATGTCTCAGACTATCTGAATCTAAAAAAAGAAAACAATTTCACGTCTCCAAATGTTCCAGCTCATTGAAATGGAATTCACGTGGTGAACAAACGGTTGAGTCTTAATACATTCCTCGAAACATTCTTTTTCCATTCCCCCATTTGAATAAGTTATGAAGGAGTACATTAACCTATTTTTTGGCTTTTCGCTTATTCATTGCATTCGCCGGGCTAACCAAATAAAATCACATTTCAAGGTAATTGCCTTCTACGTTATTGAGCTTTATTTTCAGTTTCAACAAATTACTTTTACAAAAGGAAGAGTTAGAGCAAAAGCACTTACATCTATTGCAAATCGTTGAATCCGAGAAGACTGCTAAATGGCAATACACTCAACAGTGCGAAGAACTAGCAACTGAAATTAAAAAGTTAAGAGCAGAGGTAAGCATTTCTACATTTGAATTGGTATTACAAAAGATCAACTGAAGCTTAGGTTAGGTTCAAAATGATTGAAACTATCCAACTCTTCATCGCAACCCGCATGGGTTTATTGTGACTCACACGTGTTCAAATCCGACCAAATGAATTCAGCTTCGTGACAAAGCCGATTAGCTTATATGGTGAGCAATCTTTTAGGTCAAACTGCAAAAAGGAAACTCTGGAATCCAGATTCGGTCCGCAGCATGGCAAGCACAAATTATGTGATCTCTTGTTCCATCCTTTTCCACTGTCCTTCGATAGTTTCTGCACAGGATGATCCAGACAACAGTGGCCTGTGAGTAGGCCTGTTACACAATGTAGTTCAACCCTTCCGTAGTCTAACAATTGTACAATAAGATACTCAGAAAGGTGGCCTTGGCCTTGGAATGAACTATTACTGGTGGATTTTGCCATACGTCCGGACCTTTTCTTGTAGTCCATCGCCTAAAACGCTGTTCATGACAGAATCTGATGCAACGAAACCTCTTGCAGCACAATCCCCTGCTAATTGTCGGCAACTTCGTTACATTCCAGTCCGGTGTAGCCAGGAATCCTGACCAGAAACAAATTGTTAGACTTTCTATTTAGGAGAGTCTGTTTGGCACTTTTCCACCGATTTGAACATTGCTCTGTTAGAAACCAGAGTTTCCAGGGCCGCGTAAATTTCCGCTTTTCATATGGATACCTAGACAAGTTGATACCTGTGTCTTGGATCTGAGACCTATGCACCTAAACCAGGACCTGAAGGTGTTTTTGATGCACTTATGAACCAACAGGTATCTTCTCTCAGTATTGTCCCCTCCCGAAGAATTCAATCCTCTCTGTTCGAGAACCGGCCTGTGTAAGGCAGATCGTAGTCCACAGTTTGAGGTATTAATTCAGAGGTCTTTGTCAGAATGTTGTGAATTTCAGTATTAGCCTACAGTTTGCTATGCTCCACATGAACCGGCATGAAATTGGCAATATACTCCAGACATATGGAGAAGAGGTAGGTCCATGACCGCTGACGATGTGGTTTCGATGTTACCAGAGAAAGCCAGGCATGTGTGTCTCGATGAACCAGAGAGCAACGTCTGAGCCGTTTGCTGTAAAGCTTTCAGCCACCAGGCCATTGTTCCATACGTGATCATTAGTCTGACAGTCGTCATATATATCCAATGGATTCGGTTAAGGCCTGCACCCCAACAGGGACATTCTGACTATGTGTAAGACTTTTTTCAAGTGAGCATTCTAGGTGAGTTTTTTATCAAGGATAATATCTAAATAATTCACCTCCTTTCAAATCTGGATGATGAAGACTCTGGTAGAATAGTAACCAGATATTTTCGCATCAGGGATTTCTTGATTTTTCTGTTCAAGAAATGACTCTTGTGTTTCAGTAGCACTTATTTGCGAGTGCCACACATACCGGAATGTTCGGAATATTTCAGAATCACTGGGAAAGATTGAACTTGCCGTGAAAACTCATTCCATTGATGATTCAAGAGTGAATTACTAACGTTTCAGCAAAAATATGGATAGTTAATTATATCGCTCCATTGTCTTTGGTGAAGGAGGAAAAAGTTGGATGCAAGATCCGAGTCCCATGCAAAAATGTCCTCCTCTAAATCGTGAAAGAGGGTGCAGCTGGTATGGAGTGGAGTATGTACATCGTCACTTCAGTCGATTTGTATTGTGTCTCCGTCAGGGCCAGAATATCAAGAAATTTAGTCCTGAGATGATGATTTGGATCTCACACATTGCAAAAGTTTATGTTTAGTCGTGATAGAATATAATTGAAGTAGAGTAATGATTTCCCAAAGTGTCAAATTCGCGAATTGAGCAAAATACTTTCCATTTTTCAGTTATTCGCATTGAAAAAAGAATGGAAACCTGTTCCCCAACATCAATCTAGTGGTAGCATATCTTCAACCCAAGGCTCTTGTAGCTCAGGGGTCAGTGGCCAATTCGCTAACTTAGATCAAGATTCCGTAGAGTTACGCAAAATAAAAAAGGTTCAAAGTTTCTTCCGCGGGTGGCTTTGTAGAAGGAGATGGAAACAGATTGTAGAACAGTATATCAAAAGTCCACATGCGGAAAGCATGCGCAAAAGAAATAGTTTGGTGTTCCGAATGGTTGAGACGGAGGAGGAATATATGGAACAAATCGAAGTGTTGGTTACTTGCTTTTTAAGACCTTTCAAAATGGCAGCGTCATCGAAAAAACCACCTTGCTCCCACGAAGACGTCAATTCTATATTTCTAAACAGTGAAACGGTATTATTTCTGCATCAAATTTTTTTGAAAGGGCTAACGTCAAGGTTGGAAAGTTGGCCTACACTAGTTTTGGGTTAGTATAACTCATTAAATGAGTAAAGCAATCTTATTCTTCTAAACCTATTTTATTTTCAGGGGATCTGTTCTCGATGCTACTGCCTATGTTGAGTATTTACCAAGAATACGTAAGAAACCATCACTATTCCTTACAGGTATTAACAGAATGTAAACAGTCTCCCCAATTTTCGGCCCTGCTAAAACGACTGGAAGGAAAACCAGCCTGTCGTGGTAGATCCCTCGAAACATTTTTAACTTATCCTATGCATCAGGTGAGTAATTTATATAGTTACTTGGTTCCTTAAAAATTGACTATCAGCGTGTATAGACACGCCTGAAGAAGCTATTGTATACCGAAACATGTGTTGCGTTTTTGTGAAACCCTTTATAGTGAAAATCATACAATGAAGTATTTCTTAAATACTCGTATATTGACGAAGCCATCTCTCATTTCTAACAACTTGCTTGAAATAATCCCGCTATTATTTTGTTTCACATCCAAATTTCTCAACACCGGAAATATTCATAAGCTCTTCATTCTTTAAAATATACTTTATTCCCCCAAGAGAGTGAATGTTACTTCAAGTGGGGAATTTCTCAATCAAATTTATTCAGTTTGTGTTGTTATAACGAATATTTAAATTTTTTTAAAAAAGTTAACTGCCTCGCGGTTTTCACTCATCATAATATTAAGGGGAATATTCAGCGTCGTCATCTGGGCCTTGACGCCTACCGCTTTGTGAAAAACTGAAGAAGTGTTCTTTGACAAGACCAAGAAACCCATTTCAGTAGATACAATGAACTTATCACCTTGAAAGAATTATTTTCTCAATAAAATCTCAGTGAAAATAACGGAGATTATCAGATCAAAATCACAACGTTGAGATTCGTTTTGAACCCAAAATCTAATTATTGATTTTAATGCCACAGTGTTTTCAACGTACTACAAATGTGAAGCAGTCAATAAAATATAGTCATCTATATAATGGTGTGGTTTCCAAAGAAAGTGTTAAGAAGTTCAGAAGATATCAAAATGTGGTGTAATGTGATTCAAGGAAACTAAGAAATGAAGGGCATGATCCTTTTGAAGGTTTCTTCAACCTGCTTCACTTTCATGGTTATGTGTTAAACACTTCGAGTCTTCAATAGTAGTCTGTTGTAAATCTAAACTTTGATATCAACCACCACAGGAGAAATCGCTTTCTGTCTCTCTGAAATTCGCACTGCAAGCAGACACCGTTTCTTTCCTTGAAAAGGATAGTCCTGAATAAAAATATGACATGATCTCAACTTAATCCACTAGGCTGATATCACACATAATTGTATACATGTTTAGTCAAATGATGACTCAAAAACAAATTATGTCCTAAAGAAGACACTCGGTATTTCATTCCTATTCAATTACTTCTTCCAAATTTTTGACCTTCGTAATACAGGTCGATTTATTCCGGCAGCATAAAAATTGTATACTCGGGATTCGATTAAGTCGACGAAGGCCGATTTTACCTGGTCTTGATTGGCGAAGGTTTTATCAGTAAAAAAAGTATGTTGTCGTGGAGCAAGATAGGACTTCTGTTGTACAGTTCCAGCTGCTGCTGATGCAATTTTCGGTATATTTCGTTTTCCAAATGACATAATTAGAATGATATTTTTTACGGAAAGCTACTAGTGTCAAATTTTCAATCCGTTAGTTAGGAACTACTGTACCATCAATTTTTGTTGTTTCTCTGCCACACTGGACAAGGTGTTCAAGTTTTGATCATAGTAAAGTACAGTTTTGTTATTGATTATTGAATGAAATCTGGAGATGGGGAGGTGAAACATTGATGAAAATGAGAGGGAGGATGAGTCCCAATACAGATTCTTGTGGTACAACATGAACAATATTTGTCGTATTCGGATAACGGTTTCAATAGTTGGTAGTACTGTCATCAAAGATCATAAACAATATCATCACCTGCTCTCAACTGTTAGACATGTTTAATTTTTGTACACTTCGCGTACAAGTATATGTGCGATATCTCTAATTCTGTTAGTCATGTCCTAGATATATTCAACTGCCAGATTATACAAATCAAAAGACATTTCACAAATTATATTACATAAGTACATATTTGCAAATGCCACTGTTACTCCCTATTCTGTAATTGGGTTCATCCTGTAGAATAGTGTATGAAATAAATGAATAAATATTCACCGATTTAATCATTTATTGTTTTTTCAATCATTTCGTTATGGAATAAACTATGAGCTCTTGTTTGTCTTTATTTAAATGAGGGGAAAACTAAAATACTCGGGTTATGCGGTAGGTATTTCCCCTGCAAATAAATAGAGCCCTAACGTCACAGCAAAGAGAAAGTTCGGGTCAATCTTCCCTTTACTGTCGGAAAAACTTCTACGAAGCAACTCTGGAGGGATCAATATTCCAGTCCAACCCTTGGGAAAGAATCACCCCTTGCACAAATAACTAACTTTCAGCAGGAGATAGAGTTTCCGTATTTGGTACACAATACGGAGGATGCTGGAAATTCGAAAAAAATATTATTTAGAAATCGGTCATTTGTTTATGTGGAAATTTGGTTCGAACTGGTTTGTGTTCTCTTATGCTCGTCATTGGGCAGATAAGTTAATGTTCAAATTTCGCGGGCGCAAACATTCGATTAGCGATTTTTTTCATGTTGGTATACTCGTTTCGAATGTATGTTAACAGTGTCAGCTGTTTCAAATCAAATCAAATCAGCATGGAAAAAGTCAATTAGAGTAAAATATAGAAATTCACAATACAAATAATTATTTATTTATTTATTTATTTATCTTTGATTTTATCTTTGTAATGCACAGCAATGTCTTTGTTTTCACGTTCCAATGTTAGTAAATAATCACTTTTATTAAAAACAGCCATCATAATTATTTTCACAGCTTCCAAAGATAACAAAACATGAAAAAACAGCGAAGTACCTATGTTATTGTACTCATTGTGTGCCTACAGGCGGCCATATTGTTCGAGAATTGGTCACGTGTTCTGGACATCCTAATAGGACTCATTATGGATGTTGAACACAATCTTGAATTAGTTTCGAATTATTTTTCATTTTTAAGTTTGTGTTGCTATTACAGCGTGTGTTTTTTTAGTTTTTCAATTATTGTATTTTTATCGTTGTTTTAATAAAATGTTTTTGAGATATTTGCCAAAAACATATTCAGCTGAATTGTTTTTAAATTGGCGCAACTTGGCCCAAATTATTATTACTGGAGTTTTTTTCCAACACCAAATCGTTATTTTTAACACCTGTTCCAAACAGTGCATCATAAATTGGCCCAAATTGTGAAATACTCTGTGTGAAAAATTATATATCGAATGACAGCTCAATTATAATTTTTGATGAAGTAAACTGAAATTACGTAAAATTGCTTCATTACGGTTTAGATACAAATATGTCCAAATCTGAATGATCCAGATTTTGCTACCATGTATTTTATAAGACTTCTTCGTAATGGTATGACAAAATTGATTTGATAAAAATGAGAAAATTCATTTTTGAAACGTCTGTCGACAATTAATATATGAGACATTCCCGATAAGATAAAAAATTATTTTTTCGCTGAGAAATCTACATAATCAGAAAAAATTCGACTCAAAATACTAAAACAGTGATTATAGCGGTGAATCCATTTGTTTTCAGGTACCACGATATATAATAACTCTCCATGAACTTCTGGCTCACACTCCACACGATCATGTTGAAAGAAAAAGTTTACAGAACGCTAGACAACAACTGGAAAATTTATCCAGACAGATGCACGACGAGGTAATAGTTTGGACAATTTGTCCGATGAATCCAATCTGGTTTTGTTTTTGTTCATTCAGGTATCAGAGACGGAAAATCTAAGGAAAAATCTTGCTGTCGAAAGAATGATTGTGGAAGGTTGTGACATACTCCTTGATGTGAATCAAGTTTTTGTAAGACAAGGATCTTTAATTCAACTCCCCACCGATAAACCTTCCAAGAGTAAATTAGCCTTCAAAACTGAGAAGGAGGCTGTACGGCAGTGTTTTCTATTTTCTAATCATCTTATCATAGCTACAAGGTAATTCATCACAATACAGAAAAGTTTAAAAAAAAAGTTCAACAAAAATGCTAATCTTCAATATCTACATTCCACTTCCGGTATGTTGTAACTTCTACACTTTTCAGAACATCAAGTGGAAAACTCCATTTAGTTCCTGACGTAGGGAAAATTCCTTTGGCTGATGCTCTTTTGATAGAAGATCCTTCTGAAACCACAGATGACGATGGTAAGAAATATTTTTCCAATAAAATACCATTGCCAATTGAATTTTTTGACAGAATCCTCAATTTGTTCAGTGTCTACTCAGTCAACAGTAAGTGATATATCAGGAGCATCGAGTTTCCATAACAGGGATTTCAAAATAATTGTGGAACAGAAAAGCATTACCCAACCAGGGCAGGTGAGTATTGATAGTATCGTTATTTTTTTCTTATTGGTCAGTGGGCTATGCTTGAAGACGGGCAGTAAACATAGCCCACTGACTAATAAGGAAGTTTTTCTTCCTTATTCAGAGGAATCGGCCAAATTTTGGATATGCAGTTGGTTAGAACGTCGTCCACTAGATGGAGTGACATTTTTGATGTCGAAGAATGAAATACCTACTCCATAATTATTCCATAATTTTCAATTATGGAATATCATTGACTTTAGGTCGAGGATGGTCACTATCTTGCACTGACGAGTGGCTAATGAGCACGAAACCAGTCTGCAAGTATGCCCGTTCCAAAATTGAAGGTCGACTCTTTCAGTTGTATTGCCAATTGCATATGCAGGAAATTTTCTGTGAAGATCCCTGCAGTGACACCTGTCGCTGTTCGTGGTATTAGCCAGGGGAGTAGTTGTTAGACGGGCTTGAACATTTAAAGTTCATTTCTTTAGATTAGTATCGTTATTATTGATATCAGAGGTGAGGGGTACAGCAAATCAATAAACAATATAAACAAACTGCCATTACCAACGAATCAACAAAATATTTAAGTGACTGAAAAATCAATTCCGTCCACGATAACACACCAGCAATTACTCCCGCTGTACAATCCATAATACTGAAATTACTTTTTGACAGCGTATAATTGAACAATTCTAAAACAGCTAAACATCAATAAAACCTCCCTGAACGAGCACCAGTGTTTTTCAGCTTCTTCTACTTATCGTTTGAGTTCTTTATGGACCCTAGATCGAAGAAGTTTCTGTAGTTATTAATAAGAGATTAATCCAAATGGGAAATTTTCTACTCTACAGATTTGCGAGAATTCCCAAGAACTAGGACTTCTAAAATGAGTGGATTACATGTCGTTAAAATATAAATACATAATAGAGAATCCCTTACGTTGGCATAAAATATATAGTGACTTGAAATCAAATAGACAAATGAATAATTTTTTTCTAGGGAAGTCTCTATTTATGCAAGATTCATACATGAAAAATAATATAATTATCCTCAAAACTGATAGCTCAAAATAATCTACTCTTCTTTACCAATGGTCAGCAAGAGGCGGACCGCGGTTCATTTGCGGACCACGAAAAGTCGAACATCGGAGCACCAAATATTGTAATGTGCTATATACCAAGTAAAAAAATTAATACGTAGGAAAGGTATACTATACCTTTATTAATTGAAGTAACATTTTTAAGCCACTTCGAATTCAACTACCTAGGTACTTATTTTATTTAAAGTTGCCTAGTCAACCTGTTTTACAAGTACCTACAACTGATATGGTTTTATTAGTTTCTTATCTACCCTCTGTGTATGTGTGTTTATGCGCGCTAGCCACTATTTTGTTTTGTTGAAATAGCCCACGATGCAAAATGGGGATTTACTCGAGCGTCATTGAGACATATTAGGTTTTCACATATAGTCAGTGGGCATACTTGAAGACTGGCTATAAATCAAATTATCTAAGAACAATTCGTTCAGGCCAGTCTCAACTCCCTACACAGTAGATTATTGGACTGACACCTATCAGAAAACAACTACTCCGCTGGCTAATACCACGTTGTTGGTGTTGGATTATATCCGACAGGTGTCAGTGCAGGATTCTTCACAGAAGTTAGTCCTGCATATGCTGTTGGCGATACAACTGCCGCAATTGATTTACAATTATTGGAACACACTTGCAGACCTGTATAATATATACCTTTTCATCAGTGGGGGAAGCGGCTATAGATTTTTAAATATGTAAAAAAATACTGTTGCATGGACGTACTCGAGCGCGTCAGATACTAATAGCATCAATGTCCTACGTATTTTTAATAATGTTGGTATGTTAATCTGATCGTTTGCATGATGTGGGTGGTTGTACGTAAGGGTTAAAAGTGAAAAACTCACCCTACCTTAATCTGACGCGCTCGAGAATTTCTGATGATCAATTTTTTTACTAATCTGATCCTTTATCCCTCACAGGCGGCCCTATATATGGGGCTCATATTTGGTGGGGGTACTTAACCGGGTACAAGGTATCCCCCTGTATATTAATCTGCTGCGCTTTAGTGAATCCCGAAATCCCCGCTTGGGCTCCCCTATTAAAACAAGCGCGAGCGAGTATCAAAATCGGTACTGCGGGCGTGTGGGCGGGGGTAGCAGACTGCCAGTCGTAGCGCAAACCGCGGAGCAATCATTCATTTGTTTTGTGATTTTTTGGGTTTTCATAATATTTTCGTACTTATGCCAATATGGAGGTTTCTGGCAGAATGGACTGAACAATATTGCTGCCTAATAGGCCTCAAGCGGTTCCAGTGTGCCTTATATGCAATAAAACTATCGCTATTTTTATGAGTGGTAATTCAAACACTCATCAGCAAAATTTCACAATAACTTTCCTCTTGGCAGTAAGGCTCGTAAAAAAAACTTCATGCATATCTCAGTTCTCACAAAAAAGCACAAAATTACTAGTTCGTTGCATAAACGAGCAATAAAAATCCACAGTTGTAGCGCTACGGGTGAACAGCAGAAACCATTTTCAGATTCTGAGACGGTGAAAAACTGTATGTTAGAAGTAGTCACGGCACTTTTTGAAGAAAAAAAGATATTGTCGCTGCATTTCAAAGTATTATCAGCGAGAAGTAATACACGAAAAACGGAAATTTTTGCTGCTGATATTAAAAACACTTCTGTAAAAGGCACGCCATAGCACTTGATGAATCATGTGACATTGTTGATGATAAACGAGTGTCTTTTTTCATGGGATTTCTTGATATTAAGTGTCAGATTTTTAGGGAAGAGTTGCTAGCAATATTGCCGTTGAAAGGTTACACTCGAGGGGAAGATTCATTCAAGGTCATTGATGAATTTATTACTAAATCTAACATTAGTTAAAAGAAAATGGTGTCGTTTTTAACTGACGGGGTTCCAGCAATAATTGACAAAGAAAAAGGTGTAGTGAAGATAATCAGAGATAAAAACTCAGGTCTAACATCGTATCAGTGCATAATTCACCAGGCAGCCCTTTGAGGAAAAATGAAAGTGCTAGACTGAAAGAGATCTCATTTTGCTCTTCAGCACCGACATTTCAAGGAGTTTCTTTCTGACAGCGTATTCTGACTTAACTGCAACACGACAAAATGTTCGTTGGCTAAGTAAAGGTCTAGTTATTGAAAGTTTCTGGCTGATAAAAGAAGAAGTAACCTCCTTCTTGCAAAACTTAGATACGGAGGGAACCAGAAAGCACAAACAAGCGTGACATGCATGCGTGGCATCAAATTGAAAGTATAAATAATGGAGGTGGAAGACTCTAATTTGGTTGGTGAAATGCAAGTCTGGCATAGTAATGCAGTTCTGGTGTTTGGGAGCAGTAAAAAATCTACTTCATCTCCTAAATACGCCTACATGATTGGTAAAACGAGCGTTTTGAAGAGTATTGCAGTTCTGAAGTTTGAGTATGGAGTGAGTAAGATGGTCTTGGGAGGTGCTGTATTCATCCTGAAGAGACGAAAAATGATGTGCCTGCCTCTTTTAAAATTTGCATCCTAAGTCGTCTATTCAACAGTTATACTTCCTCCCACAACTGGGAGATCATGGATTTCGAGTTTCGAGTGTCTATATAACGAAATCGTTCTAACTGCAACCTGTGATATTATCAGAAGTTTGGATCCCCTTCTCTGTACAATCCACAAAAAATCCAATACACAAGGCTTCCTTCAAAAATATTGAATACGACTTGTCCATGAACAGTAAGTTCTCTTTCTCAGTTCAGGTCAAGTGGGATCGGGTTGGAGATCGTGGTATTCATTATCCCTATTAGAATGGTATCTTGGATACCTTGGTTGAGATACATACATCGGAAGGATAAGGCGTGCCTCGAGGCGTAACATATTTGCTATTGGCATAACCACCATTTATTTACATAAATAACGGCACCCCTACGGTATTGACGATACACCATTCGCTTCAGCGGATATTGAATCCGTTGTGAAAATTGAAAAGTGACAAATTTACTGAAACTAGTCATTATTCATCTGCGAACATAAAATTTCATCAGTCGCCTGAATAATCAAAATAAAACGGTATTTGTTGTAGAATGACTACAGATAAACGAAAAGAGAAAGAGAAACTGAAGAAATATATATAAACCCGCACTCTCTACCTAGACTACTTTGTCAAAATAGTTGTTTTGGTAATGGGAAGTGCCTTTGTGGAATGAAGTTTTTCCTATTCTGGAACCCTGAGATCTTACTGTTTTCCTTGGTTCGCTACGTCTCCTCGGGGCACACATTTTTCGAACTCATTGATCAGTTGCTTCACTGCAACCATTGGTTGATGATGCTGACTTGCCTTGCCCTTGAATAGTCGGTAATTCTAAAAAACTCGAATCGACTAACACAAAGAAGACCTCTCAATAATTTATGAAGCTCACTCCAGAGTATTCAATCAGTATCAAAATCCCAACCGATTACGGTCTCTTACTCGTGTGTTATGCCCATCGAGACTTTTTTAAAGCTACCCAGAGGCATTTCAATCAATTAAACAGAACGATCGGCAACTAGTATCAGTAGATGTAAACTCAATTACGAGAATAAATTTTAAAATTCCCATATGATGCAAATCAACTGGATCACGACTACATACACATTGTTTTCATGAGGCAAACATGCACTAATCGAGTAATAATGTGGAACAAGGTAAATATTCCACAGAAATGTGGAAATGAGATTTGGTGAAAAAAATTTTGGTAAATTGTATATTTACCTTCACTGTTTCGAAAACAATGAGTTAATAGTATAACCGAAAGTAGGTCATTTTGATTTTTTCCTGACACATTTGACGAAAAGCTTTCGACTGTATTTTGAAGGATACCTGCAGAAAAAATAAACCTCCGGTCATCCTACCTACCAGATAGAAAAAACGTGTCTCCCACAGTAAAATCTTCAACAGCGCACAATTATTTATCACAAATAATAATANTAGTTGAAGCGCGATAAAACCAGTGCATCACAGAGAGTTGTTTTCGTCTGCTTCGTGAGTATGTGTCTGTGTCCATAAACAAGTTTCAACGAAGAATATGCCAGTTGTATTTGTTTGTTTATATGTTTCTCAAACCGCAAGTCAGAGTCGATTATAACTCCAAGATTTTTGCATTCATTTGTGGGTTGTAAAGGAACATTATCAATCGTGATTGTAAGAGATTCACTTGTTTTCTGGCGATTCTTTTTTGATCCGAAAAGGATGATATTCGATTTAGTGGCATTTAGTAGTAGACAGTGCTCTCTTGCCAACTCAACAAATGACTCGAGATCATTGTTGATAAGCGTACATGCGTTTTCTACATCTTGAGGGAGAAAGCTGTAATAGAGTTGAGTGTCATCAGCATAAAGGTGAAATTTACAGTGTTCTAGACTACGCAACATGTTTGATGAATAAATTGTAAACAATAGTGGACCCAATATTGAACCCTGTGGCACACCTGACTCAAGTTTCAGATAGTTTGAATAGATTCCACCCTGGCACACTTTTTGTTCCCTGTTTTTGATGTAACATTCAAGAAGTCTGATAGCACTACCCGATAATCACATATAGTTTAAAATGGCGAGAAGTAGATCATAGTTTAGAGTGTCAAAAGCTTGACTGAAATCAAGAAGCACAAGTACAGAACAAAGACCCTCATCTGTAGCCCAAAAAATGTGTTCGACAACGAAGTATTTTTCGACTGCTGTTGTTTCTGATATATATTACCGACCTCAGTGTACTTAATTTTCCACCTCTATATCTGCAGACGACACTACTTGCGAAAAGCATGCGCGTAATGATGAAAACATCAGAAAATAACATAGTGGAGGACAAGTTTGACAGGTTCCAATCAAAACAAACTCTGTCTAAACCGTAGTAAATTAAAAGCCATTGTATTCGAAACAACATGTCTTAGACAACAGCAACCGATCTATTTCGGAAAACAATACTCTGCAAAAAACTGAATATAACATTGATATTGATGCAGCTCTCGATGCCTATTACTCAATCTTTCACAGCACAAAACATACGGACACACGAATAACACTGATAGGTTAGGTTAAGTTAGGTCCAAAGTGAGTAGACCTATTCGACCCTCCACCGCAACCCGCAAGGGTTTATTGTGGCTCACATCTATTCACACTCGACCAAATAAACCCAGCTTCTTAACGAAGCCGATTATTTTGTATGGTGAGTGGTCTTTCAGGTTAGATGGTATGAGTACGGCTCTTTCGAACTCTGAAAACCTGATTCGGTCCCCAGCGGGGCAGGCACAAAGTATGTGCTCTGCTGTTTCATCATTTTCCATGCGTTCTTCTGCGGATAACGTGCACCGAGAAATGCATTTAGCACTATTTTGATTGTTGCTATTATTCTTCTGCTTTAAACCACAAAATATTTACTTTCATTGAAGGTTACATACCACTATGAATTTGTATACTAGTACTAAGAAACAGTTTACTCACCGTTAATAGAAATGGAAAAAAATATTTTGTTTGCTATTAGTATTAGAATTTCAAATGAAATTCCGGAGTACCGGAAAGCTACCCTGTGAGTGCGGAAAATAGTATATCGGTGAAATTAAGAGGCCATTGAATGTTCGCATTGCCGAACACAAAAAACACACACACGGCGAGGGAAAACCAGCAAATCAGGAATAGCAGAGCATGTTTGGACTCATCAACATAACATCAAGTCCCAAGATGAGATCATCCACAGGGAGGCACACTGGTTTGAGGAGAAGTACAAAGAAGCTGCTAATATGTTATCCAACGACGCATTCAGTCAAGCTAGCGTAAAGATACGTAACATATTAAAACCTGTAATCAAACGGCTAACTATTGCTGAACCGGGGAAGCGAAAAGAGGAAATAGGTGACCTGAAAATAATCATGTCCCGGAGGAATAGTCCAGTCATGACCCGAAGACGATTGTGGATACTAACAATCGAAACGTCGTGAAGTAACTTGGTTAGAAATCTTTTTAATTTTTTTTTAATGTTTGCCTTATTTTTTTCTTTTTATTTTTTTCAACTCTGTGGTCATGTTCATTTTGTATCTTGATTATTTCATTCGTTTCTTTATATTTTCGTTTCACGTTGTATTACTTAATACAATTTATATTTCAGCTCTTCGCACTAATTTTATTTGTTCTTTCGTATATCTCGAATCATATTCGACAATGGAACTCCGAATCAATAAAATTCAATTTCATTTTTGCTTCAAAAATAACAAGCAATTCAACAGTTGTTTATTCGTTTCTAAAATGATTACCGTTTACATTCCGATATTGATCGATTTTCCGTTTTATCTCAAAAACGATAGCGAAACTTCTCTCTGTCAAAATATTTACATTTCTATTTCCAATTTCACGAGAGAATTTGTGGAACAGTGCATATTTCATTTCCGTTTCGCAAATGTTAATCAATTTCAGTTTGTATGACTAGAGTAATCCAGGTATCCATTTCTCTAAAAAATAGAATTCAATTTCATTTCAAACTCCAAAGTGAGAGATAAAAAAAAGAAACTAGATGTTTGTTATTCGATTGAATATCATAGGATGATTACTCATCGAAATCGAAAGCTCCATAGGGCTAGGCGCAAATTGAGCGCGTGTGAGCTGACCTTCACGATCCGCATGAGACGCACATGTCACACACGTAGCGTGGATGGTCCGCAAATTGAACGCAGTGACAATCCTACCGCAGTGACAATCCTGGGATCATACAAATTTGAATGCGCTAACAGCCTCAATTAACTTTTCCCCAACTATAACTTCAAATTTAAAAAATGAACTACAAAAAAGTAGAGAACGCAATTTTGTGCAATACAAAGCTTTTGGCGACATGCGAAAGAATTGGCACGGAAAACTGTCTTAACTACTGTGCCACGCCAGTCACGTGTCACGCTTATCGCGCCACCTCGTGTTCGGGCGCCAACTTGCGCTGTTCGATAGGTTTTCATGGGTTACAAAAGATTGCGTTGTGCTGCGTCACCCCACAGCTTCCAATTTGCGCCCAGCTTCATCTTTCGAGTGAGTTGATTAGTGTCTCGATTTACAAAATCATCCCTTGCCGCATGTGACCCATATTTGCATTCTTGTTTTAGATTTGTGTTCACCTAGTAGCCTCTTCGGTCCAGGAGAAAACCGCGTGGATATCGGATATAATTCAATGTTTAGACAATGTGCAATTCAACGATATGTTGCGTCCAGCAATGCCTGATAGTGGCTCAATAAGTTTACCACAATCTTTGAAAAATGATCCAAAGCTATTCAAGGATGAAGCAGACATTCGTTTCAGTAGAACGCTGAATTCATGCAAAGTACCTCAAATTCGATATGCTACCCCAGAACGTCTCCTGCAACGCTTAACTGGTAAATGATAGATTGGGAACGTTTATTGTCTTTTATTATCATCGTTCATTAAAATCCATATAATCTGGGCACCATTTATTCATATTTTATTAATTCCTCGTAATGCATGACATCCATTCTTGACCAACTTTCTTAATTCAGGTACATGTGTATATTTACACGAGTGTCCAATAAACATGAGTGTCTTTGCAGATCTAAGATTCCTTTCCATTGATTTTCTCAATACATTTCTACTGACTTACCGGGTTTTCACTGACGGTGTAACTGTGTTGGAGGCCCTCAAGAAGGTGTTTTACAGTATCGATCAAGAACCTCACGGTTCAGTTATTTCTTTGGAAGGATTACAAGTCAAAGATGAAAACACCTTACAGTTATACGATGATGATAGACGGAGAAGTAGCTTCTCCCCGAGAAGAACAAGCGGTGCCAGTTCGGTATCCGGATACGGTTCCGAAGTAAGTGATAGGGACAGATCACATAGCTACGATTCGCAAGGCCATCGAGTATGGAGAGCAACTTTACAGAAATGTGAGTAATAATTACTGAATCTGTTCTCAACTGTATTCTCAATACTTTTTGTAGATGAAGAAGATCCACAAGAGCTAGTTCAACCAAAGATCGTAAAACACAGCCCAACTCATAAAATGGGGGAGACTTTAGCTCCTCCATCTACCTCTAAATCAATTTCCATACGAGTAGACAGTACAAAACAATCTGAAGAAAGTGCTCACTTGACAATTCCAAAAGTAGCAGCATCCAGTAGCATCGAAACGTTAACAGGTAGATTCATCAAAAATAATTCTATGTCTTTTCCTCACTCCATTTGATTCAACAGATGCAACAGTATTGAGCGCTCCATGCTCCCCAAGCAACTTGAGCTCAGTAACTTTAGTAGGTTCTTCTCCATCTGATAATGGTGGTTTGGATGAAGGAAAATCTGTGGCCAAATCTCCAGTCAAGTCTCCAGCCAAACCACCACTGCCTAAAATATCCCCCACCAAAACTCCTACAAGTAAATCCTCTCCAACTAAACCGTCCACAACCAAACCTTCGCCTACCAAACCGTCCTCTTCTAAACAATTCGTTAAAACAGCTGTCAAACCACCCTCGCCATCCAAAGAACCAACTGGAACGAAGGTAGATCAACAGAAGAGACCTTCAGTCACTTTGAAACAGGAGCCGTCTGAAAAAAAATCCTTTCAGAGGGGAGTATCGGCCGAATCTGAGGATCAACCAGAAGAACAACATTCCTATCTCCATAGCCACAGAGCATCAAGCAGTTCATCAAGATCGGCTAGTATATCGACCTCATTCCTAGTGAGAATAATAAACATATTTTTAATACATGAACTTTTCAGTACATTTTTCAGAGTTACTATGGACCTAGAAGGTCGATGCAGGAAGATACCTCCACTGCGCGATCCAGTTTCCAGCACGAATCTCCACAGAAACCGAGTAGAGCAGGAGTCGTTATCACTTCATTCCGGCAGTCAAAACGAAGGTAAATATGAATTCTGAATTATGTTAATGAGTAGTTGACAAAACATATGAAAAAACAATCGCGCTAGTTTCTCTATTTATAAAAATATGACTTTTAGGAGAAGTAGAGCAAATTTGTCTAGATGAGCTCATTTTTTCAGTTGAAACAAAGTTTTTAGCATATTTGTTAGTTCCTTCTCACGCGTCCCTCGTCAGATCGAAAGGCTCGGTAAACATAGTGACGATATTGTGTCATACGGGAGGATCATTACCATTATAGGCAGCCTATTTTTCTATGACCACTAATTTGCTCTTTGGAGTTAGCTGGATGCGATACACTACGTCATTTATCCTCCTTATTCATCATTAAGTATAGGATTTTCCATCTACTTTGTTATTTGGCCCGGAGGTGCTTCTGTCGAACTCGAACCAGTGTCTTATTGATGCTGAACTGATCTCCTGTTAGACTTCAATGGAGTTGGTCTAGCGTGATGTATGCTCTTGGTACGACCAGCTGGTACACAGCTGTTGCATTTTCCGCTCTCTCACTGGTTTGTACTCACATCATATGTGGTCTATAGGTCAGGTTTTTTAGAATCTGTAATGATGGTGGTGGCAAGTATCGATTCCCGAATTTCTTCTGTCGCCGAGGTTGTGTCTTGAACTAGTTCTTTCACTAGCAGAATCTAATTTCAAGTTCTTCGACTTCTATACATATACTAATTCAGCAAAGTACCTCAGCATCCTGATCGATTCGTTTCTGAAATGGGATTTACATATTAAAACTGGCTCATTCATAAACTCAAACAGGTGAACAAATTTCTACAGCGGAATGAGCTGAAATTCTTATATCATTCTATAGTGGAACCTATTATACAAAAGGGTATGATATGATATGCCAAAATTAAGGTCTTTGGAAATCACTCAAACTTAAAAATGCATTCTATTAATTATATGCAATAAACTCCCTTAATACCCTTCGAAATCTTTGTTCAACAAACTTGGTATCAGGGACTTCGACTCTTCGACAAGATGGCACAGGACGGGAACATGACATGACGTGGCCTGTCCTTTGCCTCCTCCGTACACTACGGCAGGACGAGATGCCACGTCCTGTTCCCCCACCTTCTTGATTTCATTCCTGCTCGGTTCCTATTCTTATTTCCCTCTCGTTTTTAATAGCATTCTGTTGCATTCTGGCACCTCATCCAGTGAGGTGGATATGGTAATTGCAATTTTACGTAGTAATATAATTTATTGAACAAATCAATCAATGCAGGGCATTGTTGGATAACACAACTTTTCCTCGAAATCCTTCATATTTTTATAGCAACAATCCAGACAGCTGAAGGAAAGACGCGTGTTATATATGTGTTGTACTCATTAATTAGTATTAATAATATTCATTATTATTATTACTCGAGTATAATTAGTCTGGAACATGATATGAATACGTTTCTAACGAATCGATTCATCTAGATGGAAGTGTTCGAATTTTCACGATTCATTGGCTATTTTGTACTATGATATAGTTTTCCAACTCAACGTGAATAACCCTAATAATTCCAAATTAACAATCAACAACAGGTTTGTTGCCGTACGTGATTACTGATAGAAATTGTTAATCCAACTGACCCTTCATTTCAGATAATTCAATTTCTCTGTGATGCTGAGGCTATTCGATTTGGTCATCGCATAAATTCATTCCTCGCACGTAATATGTGAATGTAATAAAACAAAGTATAAAGTAATATTAAAAATAAGCTTCTGTAGCTCTCTACTTCTCCATCAATATTTAAAAAAGGGTGTGGATCGAAAATCAGGGTGTGGGCGAAATTAGTTATAAAGTTGTAAAAATTGTTTCTGTTGTGTTCACAATATTCAAAATACTGCATGTGAGAATTTGAAGCGAATGTTCCACCTGAAAATTTGGAGAATATGTAATTATTTTAGGTGGAAATTTACATCGAAACTTTTTCAATAATCACTGTGTAACAGAATTTTTTATAAGATACTGGCGGCCCTCCTCACACATGTAAATGATCTTCCAACAGGGACTTCCGAGCTTTGACAATTGATAACGGCCATTTTCAAGCTACATCTGTCAAATTAGTTGTCATTTATTCAGTCTGTTTCGAAACGGATATAGCATTCAACAACACATGCAAATAATTAAATTTTTTTATCAAAATGGGTTTCTGTTCGGACAAAGTACCATGCCATAATCGTCCTACCGAGGGTACTATTAATAATAATAATATTTTTTTTTCACCGTAGTGTGCGCTGGTCAGGCCCTATCCCCCGAAGCCCCGATACATTCGGGAGGGCGCGCCAGCATAATCAACCAATGACCACTCCCCACACCGTGGGGTAAGTGATCATTGGGTCCGAGAATCATGTGCCCNTAAACGTTTTTATCACTAAAACTAGTTCTAACTACATATATAAAGTTATGGTAAACGGCAAAGTTCAGTTTTTGCAGCTATCCAAATAACTGCTAAACTGTTCTTCCAGTTTATTCTTTCGCATTGTGGTGGATACATTCGAGTCCACTGGATCAGTAAACTTTTTTTCTGATTACTTGATGAAGATCCATAGTAATTTCATAAACAACACCTAACGAACCTAACCTAACCTAACCTAACGAATAACATACATAGGTTCAGAAAACGATCTACCAACATCATCCATACGTCCACGAAATCCAAGTTGTGACGAAAACATAGCCGCTGTCTGTAAAGAGACAGTGTGCAGGAGAATCCGAGGAAATAGATTTTGCGTCGCTCACAAGAACTTGGCCTCTCGCAGACCACAACTTGGAAAATTTTGCGTCGTGACTTGGGCCTGCCTCGTACAAGAATACAACTGACCCAATAACTGAACGTAAACGACCATAGATAACGACGTGTGTTCGCTGAATGGATTCTGTAGTAGTTGACAACTGATCCTAATTTTCATTGAAAAATCATCTTTAGCGATGAGGCCCATTTCTGGATGAATCGATACATATTTCTTTGAGAACGATGTTGGCCAAGCCATCACTGTCAACGGTGAGCACTTTAGGTCGATGATTACAAACTTCTTGTGGTCTGAATTTGATGATCTGGATACCAACAACAATTGTTCTGACAAATGCATCAGATGTGGATACTATTGTCATTTTTTTTCTCCACATTCATCTTCAGATGAAAACTGTCAATGAAAGACATCAAAAACCAAACTAAAGCAAGCAGTGATACCTTTTGATGTTCATTTTTTACAGAAGCAGTACTTCTAGTGCCGCTGCTGCATTTGCTGTCGCAATATCAGGGTCCAGCAATCCCCCAGATATTTCACCTGGTCGAGAGCAGGAGGATTATCAGTCAGAAAGGAACAGGCACAAAGAAACTGTCATGTCAACGGCCTGTACAATGCGGGTACTCAATGTCCTGAGACATTGGGTGTCAAAGCATTCGCAGGACTTTGAAAACGATACCCGACTGAAAAATTTGACAATAGAATTCCTGGACGACATCATATATAGTCCCAATCTTTTACCAGCTGAGCATAAAGCTGCAAGTCAATTGTGGAAGTTGCTCACGAAAGAAGAACCAGAAAGTACTAGAGTCGATGTACTAAAACTAGTTAAAGCTCCTCCGGTAAGAAGATATGATATATAGGTAATAAGCATTACATGAGATTTTTTTAGGTTTCCAGCAAGGAGTCGATAGAAACTTTATCTGCTCTAGAAATAGCGGAGCAACTTACGTACATCGATCATCAAATATTCATCGCCATTTCTAGCGAGTAAGTTTGAAAAATATCTTTCTCCAAAGTTCTATTTCATATTCAACAAAAATTCTGTCTGTCTTGAAATGACCCCCAAAATTTTGTTCTTTGTCAGGCTGCATTACAAAATTCTCTCAAAACATTTCGTTAGATCTAATGTTGTAAGTCAGTAAATACTTCATTCAACAAAAATTAGCAATTATAGAAATATTAAAGAAATATAATGATTTTTAAGGACCAATAAAATTATCGTATCGATACCCGATAACAAATTATTTGTTGAATGAAAAGTAATACACCTTACTCAAACTTAAATCTACAGGAAAATGTTATAAATCATGTGAGCAACAGTTGTCAGATCTAACAAATGAAAATGAATTGAACTCAAATCCACCTGTTTATGCTCTTTGGTATCAGTATCGTTGTATTTTACCTTCAGTGATTGGACTATTGAAAGGTAAAAATAACTCAAACTATCAGAAGACCATTACTTGAATTCTGGCTTCTTTGAATTGGTAAGAAAAAGTAAGGGTTTTTGGTCTCGAAAGCATATCAATAGGGTTAATGAATAATATCTTTAGAAATTCACACAAGAGAAATCCCGTTTTATATTCGTTCGAACTGAATATGGAAAAGAACATAGAGAAGCGTCTGGAAACTGATCAAAAAATGTAACCGTTGCAGTGGTAATATCATGCTACAAGATGTTATCAGCATTTCAGAAGGAACCGTTTCTATTCCATTGCAAGGATTGTGTGAGATAGAAATGGATAGAAGTTTTTTTTTGAGGCAAAATGATTTCTGTCGCTTGATCGATTGTAAATTCCAAACTTTCAGATTTGAAACCTACTGAACAAGAACAAGTATAACATGTGCTATACCTAATGAACAAAAATGTTTTCATTTCAATACCAATGATAAGTACATTTTGAGTATTCGAATCAATAGTCAGAGTGAAACAACCCGAGAAATTCTTGCTTTGATTCAAAATATACACAGAGTTTTTTTGAACAGTCCATCCAAAAGTCAACATAGTTGATGACCCTTCTCTTAAAACGACCGAATTAATTATATTAACTGAACATCGAAGAGCTTTCAAATTACATAACTTTCTGAAATTGTTCATGACACTTCAAGCTATATCCGCAATGCAGTGGAGAGTATTATCTACAAACTGTTAAATTCGGACTTCAATGAAGTAACTTATCGAAAATGAAATATTATTTCAAATCCTTGAATTTCGCTCGTGTGTTTTACTATCGCAATGAAAACAATAGAGGATTGAGTGTGTCATAAATATGTTTCGAGATGAAAATGTAGGTAACATTTTCAGTTTCATATGCAATATACTGTTCCAGAATAAAACCAAGCATGAGAGTCTATGAAGTTACAATCAGTTGAAAAATTAACGACTCTATTCACTGGGTTGGATGAGTTCTTTTTATACGAATTCAAAAAATATACTTCAAAATGAATTCAAAAAGACCCACTCGAAAAACTTCCCATTGAAAAAATTAAGTAGTTTATCATTGTTTCCAAACTGGCAAGCCTTGCCTCAAAAAAATGCCTGATGATAGTTGAAAACGTAAGAAAGAGAAACAGAAAAATTCAATTTTCAAAAGCCAATATAACGTTATAAAACGTGAGCCAATAAAACTTTACTTCAAGTGCATAGTGAAGTCATCATTTCAAGAATTATTTTCATTATTTATTATATATACATGCAATGTATATACATTTTTTCCATGCTTGAATTATCTGATAACACACTTTGAACTGATAAAAATGCGTAGTTTTGTAATCAATAAAAAATATGTATTTCTTATAATGTATTCAAAACGTCAAAAACAAGATAGAACAGAAAATAAATAACTATTTGAAGAAGAAAGTAATCAGTGAAAAATAATGTTATTTGGATGTCGCATTGAAAATGAAGTTTCAAAAATGCAGTTACTTTCATTTTTTATTGAGTGACTTATATTATGTGTTTATGGACGTTATCCAGAAAAGTTTCTTTTGGGATACTCTACATGTACATCATTCAATGCTTAAAATATTCAGCAATACATATTGGACCCATGATTTAAGAACATAAGCTTCCACGGCCGGAGTCCCGATCAAAAAAACAAAATTCGGGCTGGTAGACCGTGGTTCAAAGGAGCCTGAGGTGCCAAATATTTCGTCTGCTACTGCGACATACATCATCAGAGGTATGTGCGATGACTGCGAGGACAAAGGTTTTATCTCAAAGTATCAGCAACTGGAATTGACATTTATAAAATCTGGCTACCCGCACTCAACTATAGACGAATAAGGCGAAGTAACCCAATCAATAGAAACGAACTTATGTCCACCACCAATAGAATAACACCAGAAATTCTAACCCTGAACAATTATGCATTGTAAAGACTACCGGAGCACCGATGCCGTTGCCTATTCGCCTTGTTTTGTTGCATTCTTCAACGTCAGCCATAAGCACCGGCAGACTACGGCCAACAAACCCGGAAAGTAGCTGTGACACAATTGCAATAAATAATAATTGAAAAGCGTGAAGAAATATTACCCATTCCATGAAGTTTCAAGCGATCTTTTTTCAATAACTATAATTGACGAATCTAATTTACAAACCATACATTTTTTTTCGGTATATGTACCCCAAACAAATATGAGGGAACCAAAAAAGAAAACCTGACAGAGAACTTGAGTCTGAGTTGTCACAACTTTGGTTGGGCCAATTCATAGGTTATGCATACACTGACCCAGGGCCGAAATCAGGGGAGGGCAGGTGGGGCTACTGCCCCGGGGCCACCACAGGAGAGGGGGTCCCCAAAATAAAAATACTAAAATATCTAAATTTTGATTGGTCACCCACTTTTACTTTTTTCCTCCCAAACATTTTTTCCATTTTTACTAAAAATACTTGCACAAACATAATAATATTGTTATCGATATATCAGTTTCCATTTACTATCAATTTTTGATTTGATCGAGCATTAGCATTTTAACGTGTTTGGAACCACACGTTGAAAGATAAGACCTCGTTAGTCCTTAGCTCGCACAATTTTCTCAACTTCTGAGAGTTGTCGTTCGTATGGGGACAGCTGAATAACGGAAAAACCGATTTTAAACAGGTTTATTTTTAAACAGATTTCCGTAACAATACAAAAATAAGTAAAAAAAAAAAGAAAAACGATTGACCCTGCAGGTCATCCTTACAACTTCTCGGTTTTTCGAGCTCAACATATTTGACGAGATTACTTGACTGGAAATTTATAAACGACACTAACCATTGAATGCGTCGATTTTAAGCGGCCCATCGTGAGATTTTTTTCTTTGTATCCAAACATGGATAATGAATATAAAATAATCTTCATATTTCAATAATTATAACCATGAAAGTCAATTGTGTACCTACTTAAAGAATTGTTGAATACCAATGAACTATATGTACTCGTTGATTGAATATGGTTGTGCAATAAAATTGATGATAATAATATATGTAAATTAGTTAATGGTTAGAAAATCATATTCATGAACCGAGGAAAATACTAAATATAATAAATATGTATACCGTATCAAACAGATGTATTCAAGAAATAATATAATATGCGGTACTGCCCTAATGCGGTGCTGTTTGTAATATGAATACCTGAGTAATTCATTTTGTATTTTCTCGACTGCATTGATTGTGGACCGATATTCACGTGAACATGTTATACTTGCAAATTCCAATTTAGGTCTCACAAGTGGGTAGTATAGTAATTTTATAGATTTGTTGTTCGTAAAGTCCCGAGTGTGTCTATTAATGAATCCTAACATTCGATTTGACGATTTGACAATATTTTAAATAAGTTTGGAAAACGATATGGTACTATTGTAAGTTACCTCAAGATCTCTAACCCCAGAACATCTGTGGAGGACTTCCCCATCCATCATTTAATCGAAAATAACAGGATCGTTCAAACGAGTTATTGTGATGATGTTACATTTGTTAATATTAAATCTCAATTTGTTTGTGATGCTCCATTCATAAATACTGTCGATTACCCTTTGCAAATCAACACAATTCCTCTAACTGTTTGTATCTGTTTTCAGATCATCGGCAAAAAGCAAACATTCAGAAAATTTCGATCATTTATGAATAGAGCAAATAATAGTGGTCCAAGGTCAGATCCTTGAGGAACACCAGAGCTAGAATGCATAAACCTGATGTGTTACCATTGTATTTAACACAGAAGGGTCTAATTATAACTGAAATTTTATCCCAACACCAAAACGTTATTTTACCACCTCGACACGTGTTTCGATCATCAAGTGATCATCTTCAAGAAGAAAATCAAAAAATGTTCAATTTTCCTCTTTAAGATGATCACTTAGTGATCGAAACACGTGTCGAGGTGTTGAAACAACTGTTTGGTGTTGGGAAAAAACTCCATTAATATTCATTACTATTTAGTATCTATTTTGTGAATAACGTTTCCATAATTTCAACAAATTCTCACTCATTCTTTTTATAGCCAAAAAATTAGGTGCCTCATCTCCTTCGTTGTCCCAGGGCCTCCAGGCTTCCGAATCTGGCCCTGCTTCCGTTGAATACCAGGACCGTAACCGCCCATTCGCCCTATGCATAATAATATAATATGATACACGGGTTTTTGTGGCTATGAGTGATCGTGACTGATAAATTTTCTCTTTATTTAAAAAAAATACTTCCTCATTTCTTGAAACCTTTTCTGTTCCAGATACTTGAATCATTCTGCGATACCTTTATTTCTGAACCGTCTTCTGCCTGTTTCAGAGAATTTCTGGGCCAAGCTTGGATGAAATCGGACAAGGACAAGAAGGCGCCACATATCATAATGATGACGAAACGGTTTAACGATGTTTCTCGGCTGGTAGCTTCGGAAATACTACGGCGCAAGTCGATAACAGCTAGAGTTTCAGCGATTGAGAAATGGGCAGCTGTAGCAGATATCGCTAGATGTCTCCATAACTTCAATGGTGTTCTTCAGATTTGTTCCGCTTTAACTAATACCTCTATTTTTCGTTTGAAAAAAACTTGGGAAAAAGTCTCAAAAACAGTAAGTATGTCATACATATCTAGACATTTTGAATGATGCAAATAATTCTCCTTCATTTTCAGTATTTCAATTTCAACATTTGTTTACAAAAAGGATTTGAAGCTTCAATAACTTTTATTAATTATATGCGAGCGCTTTCGATCGTGGCTATACTCAAACTGAACGTATAATCTTCTTGTTTGTTCATTTATACGGTTAGAACGCCTCAGTTCAAGACAAATACCTGAACTAAGGCGTTCTAACCGTATGAAAGAACTAATAAGAAGGTGAAACGTTCAGTTTGAGTAGAGTCTTTAAGATGATAGCACAGCCTGCCATCGAAAGCGCTCGCATGTAATAAAAATTATTAAAGCTTCAAATCCTTTTTGTAAACAAATATTGATATTAAAATATACAGAAATATAACAGTATCTACTAAGTATTGATTTCATTGTAGACAAAACAAACTTTGGAAAAACTTCAGATTGTTGTTTCATCAGACGGAAGATTCAGAGCTCTGAGAGATGCCTTGCATCGATGCGATCCTCCCTGTATACCGTACCTAGGAATATACCTAACTGATCTGTCTTTCATAGAAGAAGGAACACCCAATTTCACTGCGGACGGGCTTCTCAACTTCTCCAAAATGCGAATGGTATGTACATAATACTCACTAGAGAACTACAAAACCTCTTTTTCCCATTTTGCCAAATAATTAGGCCGTTAGACATACTTAGGTTTGAAAGGCAAGACCATTTCCAGAAAACAAATACTTTCATAAATACCTGACACTAGGCTTCTCTGGTAATCTTGGTTCAGTCTTTAGATAATCAAGAGCAACTTTTTAATCACCAGTGTGCGGTGACAGAGAAATCGAACTGCGGCTGAGGTTTCACTGTTTTTCGAGTTTGAAAGCCGTGGATTTTTGAAATTTCTTCCTGACGTTTCGCTGGCGCGAGTTCAACCATCATGGCTTGCTGTCCAATGACTAACTTTTAGGCTTCGTAACGCGTATGTATGCCTTGTCAGGTAATCCGTTGTATTGGTAGCTGTATTTGTACCTGTACTTGTACCTGCACTTGTACCTGTACTTGAACCTGAAACATTAACAATCTTGCTGCCTGTTGTCATTCTGTTCGTTATTCTCGAATTCCTTGAAATGGGGTTCCATATTCGATTGAGGTTCACCGCTTCTTCTTTTCTGTTGGAATTCTCCGTGTGTTTGTAGATCTCTATTGCCTCCCGTACCAGTCGGCTATGGTATCCCTGGTTGAGGGCAATTAGTTCTGTGTTTTCGAACAAAATTATGTGGTCTCCTTCACTAAGCGCGTGTTCTGCCACAGCTGAATTGTCCGTTTGGCCTAGTCTGCAGTTCCTTTTATGCTCTTTTAGTCTTGTTTCCATGGATCGTTTGGTGGTTCCGATATATACCTTCCCACGAGTGCACGGTATGCGATAGACCCCTGCTGCTGATAATGGATCTCTTTTGTTCGACCTGAGGCTTTGTTGTATCTTCCTCGTGGGTTTGAAGACTGTTTCGATGTCGTGTTTATCCAATAGTTTTCCAATTCTGTCCGCGACCCTAGGGATAAACAGTAGATATGTGCGTGCAACTATCTGATCCTTTCTCGCTTTCTGAACCGTGGTACCTTTCGGTTTCATGGCTTTTCTGGTCTTGGAGGCACTGTATTCATTCGATCTCAAGGTCACTTCAAGGTATTTCAGTTCTCCGTGCCCGTTCCGTTAGAGTTGAGATGACTCCTCTCTTTTGGCTGGGATGGTGGTTCGATAGTGCGTGCAAGTATCTATTTGTGTGTGTGGGTTTTCGATACACTTTGTGGGTTAGTCTGGTACCACATTGTTCTACTAGTTGGTCTCCCGTTGGTCTTGCTCAATCTCCATGGTGAATTCTATGCTCAGGTGTTGGGCGTTCAAGTGGTTTAGGAAACGGTTCAGGACGTCTCTTCCATGTTTCCAGATGACGATGGTGTCATCCACGTAACGTAACCACAAGGTCGGCTTCAATTCAAAAGTGTCTATCGCTTTTACTTCAAACCGTTCCATGAAATAATTTGCTATAACTGGGCTAAGTGGACTCCCCATCGCAACGCCATCTAGTTGCTCATAGAAGTTTTCCCCCCAGGTACAAATACAGGTACAAATACAACTGATTACCTGACAAGGCATAAATACGCTTCACGAAGCCTAAAAGGTAGACATCGGACAGCAAGCCATGACGGTTAAACCCCTGAAGAAGCGAGCCAATCGCGCCAGCGAAACGTCAGGAAGAAATTCCAAAAATCCACGGCTTTCAAACTCGAAAAACAGTGACACTGAATAAATAATGTATTCTATTTTTAGGAAGTTGCTTGACACAATTAGTAATATTTCAGATTGCTCATGTGATTCGAGAGATTCGTCATTTCCAACAAACCCCTTACAAAATTGAGCTGATTGAGCGTGTGGCCAACTACCTACTCGACTCATCTTTGATAATGGAGGACGACGAATTATACAACACTTCTTTGGAACTGGAACCGAGAACGTCACGCCTGGTATCCCAGTCGTCTACCACGACACTCAAATCGTAATTTTTCCTCATATTCCAATTCTTATGTAGAAGACAATCGCAAAATCATTCCAAATTTGAGAATGCACTTTACAATCATATCGTTAGTCTTTAATGTAAAATAATTAATTCGGACTGAATTAATTTAGTTATGTACGAATCATTTGAAATTACGTGTCAAAATTTCAATTACTCCCGTCGACGTGGGTGATCGCAAAGTGGTTATAATCCTAGCGTTACCGATAATTTTCTGTAAATCGCCATTATCATTTGCGTTGGCAAGTATTACCCCAAATTCTAAATTGGTAGAACTGTCAAACTCCACGAACCGTTATGAGTGATGGATGTTTCCACCTCAATTATACAAAGTAATGACCTAAAATAATGGTAATTACAGTAAAATGGAACTACAAGATATAGACAAATTTAATAATAATCTTCTTCCACATATGCCTGCACCTTCCAAATGACTGTTTGGTGAATATAGAATATTATTTGGTAGATAACAAAACCTTCATATTCGAAATTTCTCGCGTGGAAGCTTCAGTATATCTTCGGGATCTCTTTCATTTCCCTTTTATTCGAAAGAAGTTCGAGGAAAATCACTGAGTAAATGTTCTGTTGTGCACCCTATAGTTTTTTCGGTGCATCTCTGTATAATTCATCAGAGACCTGGGATCCTCAAGCACTCAAAAGGGCGCTCTTCCAGTAGATACGAACCTCTTACATTTCATAGGTTGAAAAGGATTTTCCAACTCATAACACTGTGATGAATAATGTCTCATGATTTGATCTATTCGAAACATGGGGGTTCTAAGGGTTCTGGTACGATTAATTAGGTTCTTAGAAGGTAGTTATTCAAAATCATTCGACTCCTTCGAACGATTCAAGCCGTAGGACCTGAAACTCGAAAAGTACCAGGGAATTTTTTTTGGTCCCTTGGGAGCTGTCCAAGTCTCCAGAAAACACTGCAGCCTCTTGGGCTTATTGCGTTTATTCTCCCATTTCATCCATTCCATCAGTCTCGTTCCCAGTACTAGTTTGTACAGGTTCCGTGTTGGATGTTCGTCATATACTTCTGGACGTAATTTTGTACGTCCATATATTGCCTGCCTCCTGTGATTCAGTGACTCACATTCGCATAAGATGTGTAGAGCTGTTTCTATCCCTTCGTTGCATAATCTGTTTCTGAGGTCTTCGTTGTACAGCCCTATTTTATTCAGGTGTCCTCTAAGCGGACAATGACCGGTTAGTAATCCTGTAATTATTTTGAGCCGATCCCTACTATATTGAAGTAGTTCTTCGTTTCTTTTCTCGGACGGTTCCCTAATGAAGGTTCTCCTGGGTTTGTTGCCAGGTACTTTTGTCCAGTACTCTGTGTGCTTCTTATTGGTTCATGTCCTAATCTGATTTCGTACCAATGATTTTGGTACCCCCAGAGCTGGTTCAGGACCTATATATGAAGTTGATGATCCGTGTCTAGCGCATTCATAAGCTTCATCATTATCTCTGATTCCTGAATGCCCTGGCACCCAGTACAAAGTTAATTTGTTCCTGTTTGCAAGTTCATACAGTTCTTCATGGCATTCCCAGACCAGTTTTGATGTCACCTTCGGGTTTGTCAGAGCCCCTAGTGTGCTCTTACTGTCTGTTAAAAAACTGATCCGCTCATTTATTTAAGGTCTTAATTTAATAAGCCTTGCTTATTGAGTATAGTCCTATTATGTATAGTTCAAAACTATTTTTGTGGCTTCTGCATACAGAAAAATGCTGGAAATCAACTCACTATTTCGGGAAAAAATCTGCTTCCTCATTGCTTCAGCTCAGGCTCACAAAATGTTTATAGCATGCTTCTGTTTGAAAGATGGTGAGAGTGAGTATATGCTCACTATCAGGGAATATCAGCAACTAATGATCACTGAGGAAATAACGACCTTTTTTGGTGCAACCTAACTGTAAAGTTACTTCAACTGTTTTTTTTTCTAGCCACAGCATCTAAAATTATAGTGGAACTGACTCTCTATATCTACGATAAAAAAAAAGGTCATTTCTTCTGGAAGCAATGATAAACAACTTCATTCATCAATGATGACAAGGTGATGTTTCTCTATGACCAAACCAGGTTGTGTTGTGACTTGTTTGGTTGAATATTCAAAACAATTGGACAAACAGCAATTCACATATTAATCCTATTAGGTTGATGTCAGTGTATTTTTTGAAAAATACTCTATTGAATGTCTTTATTTGAACTATCAATTCAAAACTCCACAACTTTACAAAACCCCCTTAATGAATTCCAATAATATATATAATATATATCAAACATAATGATGCCATGTATTCTATACTGTTCAAAAATCGGTAAAATTTCGGATATACTACACCAAAAAATTTTGAAAAAAAAGATGTATCCCTACTTATTTTGACGTGAACGAGGGTGATCTGAAAACTTTCCGACATAACAGAGATACAAGCAATTTTTTCAAATTTGTTTTTACTTTCCGAAATAGTCTTCTTATAACTTCACACACTTCTCCCAGCGATGCTCCCATCTCTGTAACCCGTCCAAATGATACTCGGCGTTTTTCTCTGCAAAATAATTGTTCACGAAGGTGATTGCCTCTTTACTTGACTTGAACTCTCTGTCTTCCGGGCTCAATTTCTGGATGAAGGAACAAAAAGAAGTCGCTTGGGGCTAGATCTGGTGACTAAGGTGGATGGTCAAGCAGTTGAAACCGTAATTCGTGGATTTTCGCCATTACAATCGCTGAGGTGTGAGAGGGTGTGTTGTCTTGGTGAAAAAGGATTCTCTTCTTCTGCAAATGTGGCCGTTTTTCCGCAAGTTTGGCCTGCAGCTTGTGAAGTAATGATGCGTAACATGCTACTGCAATAGTTTCTCCTTTTTGAAGAGAATCGATTGAAATAACTCCATGACAATCCTAAAAAACAGTCGCCATCACTTTCCCAGCCAGAAAAACAGTGTTTGCTTTTTTGGAGCCGGTTCACCCTTTGCAGTCTACTGTTTGGACAGTATTTTTGTCTCGGGCGTATAATAGTGTAACCAAGTTTCATCTGCAGAATTAATCGGTCCAGAACTCGGATTTATTGCGCCTTAACTGCGCCAACAGAGCGTTGGAAATGTTCATTCGAACACGCTTCTGGTATAACGTGAGCAAACGCGACACCCAACGCGCGGACAGCTTTCTGACGCCTAAATGTTGATTTAATATAAGACAAACACGTTGTTTTGACATGTTCATAACCTCTGCTATCTCTCTAACTTCAATTCGACGGTCGTCCAGCACCATTCGGTGAACTTTGGCGATGTTTTCGTCAGTAGTTGCAGCTTTTGGACGTCCCGAACGTTCATCGTCTCCCAAGCTCTTACGGCCACCTTGAAATTCAGCTGCCCAAAATTTCACTGTGGTGAATTATGGTGCAGATAATCCAACTCATTTTTGATTTGCGTAGGCATATTGCCTTTCAAAAACAAATAATTAATTACTGCTTGATACTCGGTTTGTCCATTTTCATAAAAGCATTCAAATCAACTCACTCAAACGACTGTTATATAACAACTGCGCATCCAAAATGGCTGAAGCTTTGATGAGTAACTGTCCACAGATAAACAACGAAATCAATTCACTAGCTTTAATTCACGAGTGCTGCTATCTTCATGTTGAAATCAGAAACTTTTCAAACCACCACCGGATATAGAAATCCGAAAGGAAAAAGTTGTGCTCTCCCTCATTTTCAGAGTTACAGCCCTCCAAAGATCCGAAACTTTTCAGCTTTGTTTTTTTTTCTTTAACAACTTGATTCAACAATGAATTCGTTTCTGGTACACATATATTAGTGAAATTTTGGAAAAAAGCAGCTCTGTCAATTAATGAAGTTTTTTTATATGAAAAGTATCAAATAAGCTGGAATAAGACGTAGAGGTGATGTTGCTTATCAATACTTGTTTTTCTAGTTTATTTTGTGCAAAAATTAAGCTGAAGAGTTGCAATTTTTGGAACTTCGAAGGACGCTAACTCTGGAAATAAAGGAGAGCACCGATTTCCACCCAGTAATCTTCAATTTCCAAGACCAAAAAACCAATTCATTTGACACCATCGTCTATTCACCAATCGTTCACAACTCAATCATATTTTTTCAGATGGACTCATTTTTTCTTTTCCATCTTCGCCCACACCCTACTTCGTATTCGAAAAAATGTCATATTCATTTCGAAAACACTTCTGTTCCATTTTTTACCTTTAGTTGAATCTTTATTCTCAAGAGTATAGCAAATATTTCTTTCTTTCCTACATAATTTCTTCATCCTATTCTACACAATAGTCAGAAACATCCTTAAAGTCAAAACAAAAATCATCCACATAATACGACCACAAATCAATCAAGGACAAAACGCAAGCCCTACAGGAACGCAGTTAGATGAATGGGTTGGATTTCAAACAATAGTAGAAACATAATCAATTATTTTCTGTTTCTTAATATTTCAATACGAAAATATACTGTATCAAGGCTATTTTCCGGGTTTTTTGGCCGTGGTCTGCAGGCCAAAAACAAACACTTGCATGTTTATATTTCAATATTAAATTCTCATTCCAGTTTTATATCTCTCGGTGATGATATAATGAAATGACCCTTGTGAAAATTAAGATTTCTATGTATTTGAGCTTGAAATAAACTTTCCATCGATTCAAATGATAGGGAGCTACCGCTAGGAATTGCACGTTGAAAGATAATACCTCGTTAATCCTTAGCTCGCACAAGTTGTGCCTTCTGAGGGTTCACGGTCGTAAAGGGCGACATCTGAATAACAGAAAAAATATTTCTTCGAAATTGTATTGATCACAAAAATATCATTTGACGTTTTGAAATTTAAATTCCTATTATCTAATCTATTATCTTGTGTCATCAGAATTAGTAACTTTTTTTAACAAACTCATTTGTAGTTCAATAATATCTTATCAATAATATCTTTGTTAAGTATTTGCCAATCTCACTTACGTTCCAACTGAAAAAAAATGAATGAAATGGATTATGATAACTGCTTATAATTTCGCATATTTTTTCCGTTAAATTCATAGGTTCAAAATACAAACATCCTTGAAAATCTCAACATATTGTCATAGAAGGCGCATCAATTGAAAATGCTTTCGATGACATTTTTCTCATTCAATGGTCAATGTTTTTTTCTTGACAATAATTTATTTTCAAAAAGACAATAATGAGAACCAATATATGGCTGTGGCTACACTTCCTCCTGTAATGTCATGAATCTTCACTTCCACATTAACAAGACCTATAACTTCATACAAATGAACAAATACCGACTCATTTCGTCACATCCGTTCACACCAAAGAAGCGAAAGGAGTAATAGACTTTTGGCACGTTTATAAAACTGTATTCAAGTGTGTATATATATATATTTATATATATAAAAATATAAATTGAAACAATTAGTGGACACAACACTCCAAAACTGGGGCAAACCGCGGACACGTGTTTCTGGCTATTGGCCTCATCAGCGCGGTGCAGCCAAGTGTGTATATATATATATTTATATATATAAAAATATAAATTGAAACAATTAGTGGACACAACACTCCAAAACTGGGGCAAACCGCGGACACGTGTTTCTGGCTATTGGCCTCATCAGCGCGGTGCAGCCAAGTGTGTATATATATATATTTATATATCAACGTCAATTGTCTGTGATTTATTTCGTAATCTTTCAAACTTCTACACCTTTACGAGAACAATTGTTGTCTTTCTCACAAGAATTTTGGTCCTATAAGCACATTTTGAAGTCGATTTTCTCTCCACCATTTTATCTCAATTAAAATCATGGTAAATAGAAGGTGTATAGGAACAAAATACTTCATATATACGTATTGTTATTTATTGTTAGTATTTTTACATCTTCACGTTAGAT